CGCTAAGCTTCTGGGATGACACTGTCCAGTGGAACCGTAGTGATAAGCTAGCCAGTGGGACACACACATTCACTAACATGCACACAAGGCCTTACCACACAAACTTACCAAAACAAACCCCAGAGAAGCTTGGATTACAACAGACACAGCGGGAGCTTGACTCTCACTCCACTGTATCTTTACATAACAAATAGTGGTTTGCTGCTGTATTAATGCTCTGAACGTCACATACAGCTCCTCTAAAATGATCAGCTTTTTGTTTCAGGGAACATCAGCAATTAATTTTATAATTGACCTGTACTGTGTATAAAAGTACTGTTACGACAGATTATACCATTGCAGCAGGAAATACTTGTTCTATAGGTTTGCAGGTGTTTAACAGCATGACTGTGGACTCCACAATAGCTCTTTTAAACCCTTCAGTCAGGGCCTCAATCTACAAAACTTTGCCTTTCTTCTTTTCACAGGACTACCATTGGCAGTGGCGTTCCTTCCTGACCAGCGGCTTCACTGCTGTTTATTTCCTGGTGTATGCCATTCATTACTTTTTCTCTAAGCTGCAAATCACTGGACTGGCTAGCACCATCTTGTACTTTGGATACACCATGATCATGGCCCTCATCTTTTTCTTATTCACTGGTAGGTATGAGATAAGGGTTGATGCATTTTTCCATTGGGATTGCTATGGTCATCATCTTTCTCATGCACACATCTACAAAATTGATTATTTTTGAAGGTCAAAGGTAGGATCTCAGTTTAGATTGTGGAAACTTTTGCCATCAAGGATAGAGGAATTTAAATTTGACTATTATTATTATTATTATTTATGGCATTTTTAGATGATTAGTCAATGTTCTTGATTTATTGATGATATATCACAATATAAAAGTTTCTGAGGGCAGAGGGTATCAGATCTATTTTATCTGCAGACTTAAATCATTTTTAGCCTAAAGCATGGTCCATCAAACATTGTCGGCAGAGCAGTTACATATTGATACCCTGAAATTAATATGGTGAACATGCTGGTAAATAGTTGCCGGTTAAGAGTGAGTGGCGTTCATACAGACTGTATGAAATAATGTATGTAGCTACCATGACCATATTTGGATAAGAGGGTGGAGCTGTGGAGGAGTGAGGGATAAATCAGACACACAGGCTGTGGTATCGCCTTGCAGATGGCAACCAGCCCTGTTTTTAGATCAACATTACTTTAAGCCTTAAAGGACTTCGGTATTTTTCAACCTGGGCTCTATTTCCCCATGTGTATGTGTGCGTATGATTCATGGGTACCACTCGTTCTAAAATTGGTTCAGTATTGAGGCACGAAACAAGTTAAAACGGTAATGGGGGCAAATGCGTCCGTATAAAAGTGCTTTTTTTCGCCACTGACCGGTTCAGATCGCCAGTGCTATCTCTGTAGATAGCATATTGTAGCAGCCCTGGGGCAGTGGTGAGCGTGAATGAGTGGAGTCAGCTGTCAGTCAGTGTTGAATCATACGCACACATACACATGGGGAAATAGAGCACAGGTTGAAAAATACCGAAGTTGTCCTTTAATAAAATGTAAATGGATGAGTGATATAAAAAGTCCCCCCATGTACAGTCGTCATTAATGTTGTAATCCGCTATAGAGAACAAAACTGTTTTTTGTACTCGGCTGTAAGCATGCTTACTTTTGCTGTACAGAAAGGGCATTTTAATATTGCTATCTATGGGCAGTGATTCTGTTTTAGAGCCAGCCTCAAGTGGCCATTTGATGAACTGCAGTTTTTGGCCTTTAGCACTGCTTCATTTTTCAGCCTTAGAGGTTTTTGCTTGTAATTAAGAAAATCAACTTAACACTGCCATCGAACCCAAGTCCAATATTCACTCTACCTTTAGCTCTTGTTTGGTCTCCACCATCTCCTGTGGAAAATATCTGTCTCTTTAGCTGCTAAATGCTCCGCTCACCAGCTTGTCTCTAAATTTCTCCGTCTACTGTTTGGTGCTGAGCGAAAGTGTGCAGTGTGCATATGCAAACAGATGTTTAAAGGCATCTACATCCATTTCTGTGTAACTGTGGGAGTGGAACTAAAACAGAACCGTGTATGTACAGTATTTCACCTTGATGTTGTGCAGTGAGTGACTAATGTAGCTCTAAGTAAAGGTGTTTTGTCTGTCCACAGGTTCAATCGGCTTCTTTGCCTGTTTCTGGTTTGTCACCAAGATCTACAGTGTGGTCAAAGTGGACTAAAGGATCCAAATACACAACAGACTATTTATATGGCTAGAGGGTGCTTTCTCCCATTAACCTCTGGAACATTCAGCACTGTCTAACTTAACTGAACATTACAATCTGAACCTTCACCTCTTCATTTCTTCAAGCAAGAGGAGTCTCTTCCTCCAACAGACGACTATTTTCTTTGTTTGTGTGCCTAAAATGTTTCTGTGTGAGCATGTGTACACTGGGTTGTAATTTTGAACATACAGTATCTATCTGCATATAATCTGAATGAAATGAATCATAACTCATACAAGCCTTTTTCCAGTATCTGACACAGAAAGTGGGTTCATTCCATGCCACAGTCACACAGTGCAGCGACCTGCTGCTGGACTGTCCAGAGATTGTGTCAGCCATCATGTCATGCATTTTAGGTTTCTTTCATGATCCATGCACTCTGTGTTTGCAGATGTAGTTTGGAACTTGTAGTCAGACAAATAAAGCTGTGAGGGTTTGCTTCTTAACAGCTCTGGTTGTGTTAAAATTATGCACAAGTGTAAAATGCACAAGTCACCATTTTTCACATTGCACAGTGTCTCCCAGAATTTGTCTACATGCACATTTCAGCACCAAAAATGTCAAAATGGTTCAATATGGTTGTTCAATTCCTAAGACCCCTCCAGGTACAGCAGAGAAATGCAGCAAAGTCAGTTTGAATTTGAGGGTCACAGGGCGCACCATAGTGTAGCTCACCTGGTAGTGCATGCGCCCCATGTACTGACACCACGTTTCCAAAGCGAAGTGACATGCTGTGACAAGTTAACATACTGCTGGTTGGGTCCTTGGCTCTCTGCTCGCTCTTTCAAACAGGAACAACATGGGAGTCTGCTCATTAACTTGCTGTTATTACATCGAAACAATCCACAAAGATGTATTTATGAAAACATTTGAGGTAGAAAATAGGCAATTTGACTACGTCGCCTAGTTTGACAGCTTGGTCCAAGTTTTGTAAGTCATCCACAAAAGGTAGGAATCATCAGAGGATTCATGATAGTATATTATCATGATACATAAGTCACTACACAGTATTATTGTGAATTTAAGTATGTTGCAATATGCCGAGTATTGCAATAAAATATGTTGCAATTCATTATTCATTTATTTTTTTCAACTGTAAATTATGTCCCCAAAGGAAAACTGTATCAACATCTGTTTTATCTAATAAGATATAGTTTTCAGTCTGTTCATCTCACATCATTTTCTTGCAGCAGCAAAATGTATCTAGCAGACTGAAAAAACTATTGATTATATTGTTCCTGTAGGCTACCTAATAATTAATTTGTATTTGTCATATTGATAATTTATAGAATAAAAAAATCAATACTCTGCACTGTGTGATGATATGATATCGCCACACAAAAATATTGCAATACCATGCTGTATTAATTTTTTCCCCCCACCCCTATCATCTGCATTGCTCTGGACTAGGGTAACCTGTCCCTCTGGAGCCATATGCTCTTTAGCCCGTCCCCAGTAGCTCCCGGGTTGTTTTGACAAAAGAAAAAAGAAAAAAAAGAAGGAAAAATTCATACTCATTTGCATGGAGTTGAATGTAGTCTACGGTACGCCAATGCAGACCACTGAATGCAACGCATACCCCCTCTCCAAACTTGCCACTACAATTCCACCAAGCCCTGCGTGACTGAATATACAAAAAGCGTGAATCGTCAAGACGCCCGCTGTTGGCAAATCTAGTGGAAATGCACAATAATGTGTCTTTAATTACAGCAGTGTGGGTTTGATTCTAACTCTGGGGCCCTGTGCTGCAATCCCCAGCTCCTTTAGTCAAATGTCACGGCATGTCAAAGCACCCTTAGGCAAGATACTGAACCCCAAATTGCGTGTGTGAATGCATATGAGTGTTCAACAAAGCACCTTGTATGGTAGCCTCGGCCACCAGTGTGTGCATGTGAATAGGTGAATGTGACATGTAGTGTAAAAGCCCTTTGAGTGGTCAGAAGACTAGAAAGGCACTATACAAGTGCAGTCCATTTACCATTACAGGCCAAAAAAATATATTTGGATGTTACATTTATATATAGACTGTTAAACCTACATATAAACGGATTGTCATGTGTCAACTTAACTGTATTTGTGTGTGTTCTGGGGACTCATTCTTATAAGCTACATGATGCTAACAGACAGCCTCGGACAAGTAAGTTATCAGTACAATTATGTTGTCCAACCTTTATCGGATCGTATAATGGCTAGCTAGTGATTCTATGTTGTCATTATTAGCAATATATAATTAATCTGTAGCTAACATCAGTGTTTAATGCCACACCATTAACTTAGCAAGCATTCAGAACTCAAACATCTAATCATGCACCCCAAGACAGTTGTAATCTACACTAGGAGCGCCACCACCAGACGCCATGATAAGGTGGACCTCCAGGTAGCTGGATGTAGTTAATATGATATCCATCCTCGTGTTCAGAATTGTGCCAGTATAATGCCATGTAATCACATAGGATCACATTAAATCATACCCTTGAATTTACACTTGTGTGATTGGCTGAAACAGAAGGAGGCATCTGATTGGGTACAGATAATTCCCTGTGGAATAAAATTCATTTGTGAATCAAGCACCAGAGTCTCAAAACACATACACACACATACACAAATGTGGTGAGGTTTATACATGACAAGCAGTTTGCATATCCAGGTTCAGCAATCTGTATTCAAATCTAATAACATCAAAATACATTTTTTTATGAAAATTGCAAATACTTCTAAATACTGGTGGGTTTATTATTACATTTATTATTATATTGGTGTATTTTTTCTTACATGTATACAACAATAAGTATTTTTGTGTGCATTGACAAATATTTTTGGGAGAGAGTCATTTATGAATAGAAAGTTATGGATGTAAGAGTTCTATGAATCCTGAATGACTTCCAGAGGCAGTACTTAACACTCAATATCTTCAGTCTCAGTATTTATATCAACAAAGACACCTGTGACCTTGGATGACCCTGGTTAGGTTATAATTTATGTCATCCACAAGATCATTTCTACAGAATGTTTTTCAGGATCATCCAAGATCCAAAGAACCGTAGTTACATCTGTAACTTTTGTGCTATTTCATACATGGCCGACAGAGTAACTATGAAGATGAAGCAGAAGAACCTCACCCAATTGATAAAGGGTGGCAACATTAACTATTATCTGGAAAATGTGATCGGTGACGCCCACAAGGCCACACATGTCCTCGCAGGGCACCCCTTTAAGGGTCACCTATCACATGGAGGCACTCTTGGTAGAGTGGCACTCTGTGCTAGATGGTAGAGAATGGCCACTGGGGCCGTACGCATGGTCAATGACATTCAGACAGCGTATCATACTGCCAGGCAAAGCCACTTTTGGCATCAGGTGTCTGATGCCAAAATCACTGACAAAGCTGCGGTATTTGACAACTTTGAAATGAGAATGGACTGGTTTTGTAATATGGTGAAGGGATTTTCATGGAAAGTTGAAACAATAAAGATATGACTGGTTATAGTGTGTTTTACTGCCCCATTTACTCCAATAGAAGTGGCATCAAACTCTGGTTCCAATGCAAAATTCAAACTCTGCCACTGGCATCATGACCTTTCCTTCTGTAATATTTTCCTTGGAGTGGGGCGGGTGATGCCGCCACCATAGTAGAACTAAAAAGTGTCAGAAGGTGCCACCCACTCTCCTCTTGGGGAAGTAGCCGCACAGCATTTTCTCCAGAAGTTACCTTCTCTGGTTTTATCTGTTGTTTCTGATGTAGCCAGACAGCAGTTCAGAGTTATTGTACGTGGAAAAGAAGGAGCACTTTATTGGTTGTATGTAGAGTGTCAGCTCAAAATGTCAGTTCAACCAAATCACAAAACTTTTCCTACTTACCTTGAGTGCTATCGAGCTATGCTGTTTTGGTTTTTTTAAGACACCTGTATCTGAGATTTCTGCCTCCACTCCAATACAATAAGGATAAATGGAATTTTACATAATTACATTTGAAAAACTCATCAGCAGCTTTTAAACTAAAGGTCCATGTCAAGTGTACAGGACTGGCAGCAGACATTTCCTATGCAAATATCTCAAGACCTCAGCACCTAAAACCAAAGCCTTCTGCAAGGTAAGACAGTACTGTGGTAAAATTATTTTCTGTAATGTGGGTGAACTGAGCCTTTAACAAAAACTAACGATCAGATCTAGAAAACACACAAAACAGGAGCAGAACGGAAAGATTTACAAGTGTTTTTTTCAAGTCAGCTGCATCTAAACAAGCAACGTGGATGAGTGTGACATGTGGAGAGGACACTGTAACACTGCTGAGCTCACAGCACAGCTGAGAGTCACCATCGGGGAAACTAAACTCTGCTGGGTGGGAGGGGCCACTCTGGGAGACTGACCACTGGCAAATAAATGAATCATCAGTTATTGTCCAGTCTGTTTGCCAGTGCAGGTCCTCCTCTGTGCAGGGCTCATCCAAGTGCTGATGTCACACATCAAAGGTTGTGTTTTATTCAAGCTCTACCAGCAGGTCTCCCTCTCCCACCGTCTCTCCGGGCTTACAGTGGACACTCTTAACCTGAAGAGCAAGAGAGAACACACACATAAAAAAATAAAACATCAAAACTTTAAAGGCCCATACAGAATATTATTATTTTATTTGTTTCACTTGGATATAAATGTGTCTATTAATCCCCATGATTATTTATCATTGTGCATCTTAAAACACGCCCGTTAAAATCTATGAACAAGATACCATACCATTAGTTACCAATAATAACAACAACAACAGTAGCTCCACTGTCAGAGTTTCATATTGTTACCTTTGCCTGCTTGACAGCAGTCAAACTGTTCTGCATCTTCATGGCTTCAATCACACAGATCTCCTGACCCTCCGCAACCTGCAACCATACACACACGCGATTAGAGTGTGACAAACAGGGCCCCAGGAATGCCCTCAGCCTTGCAGCCAATTTTTCCCAGTCGCCACTGTCGGTATTGCGCAGAAAAAAGCATTCTCCCCATAGGTCGCCATTATTAAAAAGATGGCTGTAAAACTGTTGACAAGGCCAATTATGACTCTTTCTATTATGAATTTTTGATCCATGGAGGTTTTATATTTGTAAAACTTTCCTGAAGCTAAGAAAAGCGACTTAAAAATCGGTGACGTCATCATAATGTAAAGTCTACTGCACATTCTTCAGTGGGCTGCATGCTGTGGAAATAAACCCGGAAGCTAGAAAATGTTTTTGTGTATGCACCAGGCAAGCAACTAGGGATTGGAATTGAAATGAATAGGTGACATCTGCGCACCCGGTATCTGGTTATTATTATAAATCTATGGTGACAAACCATGGCTTACTAGTGTTTACTGACCAACAGGTCAGAGAGCAGCTATGACAACAGGCATGAATTGCAGCACATGCACTGCATAGACAGAAGTAGGTGGACACCTGAAAATACCACTCATGAGTGAAAGTTGGAACATGTCACTTCCAAACCACAGTCATGCCGCAATAACCATATATAGAAACAGATTCCTCATTAGTTGCTAGATTGTATGTCAACATCACCGCCATATTGGAGGGAGCTACAATTTTCCTAGAGCTTATATCTCTCAACCAATCTTAATGAGTCGTTTTTATATTCAAGGGTTTAGACCGGTTCCCCTCTGCCACCTGTGCACAATCCTAGGAAAATGAAGACCCGCTAATGTTGACATGCTCACTAACGTTGGCGCAACAGCTAAGGCTGGCAGCCAAAAACATCTGCTGTATGATCCACTGCCCAAAAAAAATCTAAAAACAAAGAATATTTTCTTGTGGTGGCCTTCCTTAAAGTGAGCAGTGGTGAAAGTTACTATGTTCTGTCATGATCAAGCAGTTGATGAGCAGACAGAGTTGGCTAGCTGGCGTTGACAAGTTGTCCACTTTCATTATATAAGGACAACTTTACAAGTACTAGCCAATGAAAATAAGCCAAACCCATGCTTGACAAACAGGATTTTTTTTTTTCTTTACAATTTCTTATAACAATTAATTACTTTTTCACCAGTAAGTAATTTATCCTATTATCCAAGGCTGGTCGTAGAGGCAGCAGGCCAAGCTGCTTTGCTTAATTTAGTTCAAGTAAGCCTAATACATACTCCTCTATTGAGCATCCAGCAGTGATTATATCCAAAATATTGAGATTCTAATTAAGCGTACACATGTAGATCATAATCCCTTGAATATAAAAACAACTCGCTGAAATTGGTTGAGAATTATAAACGTTATAGAGCTTTTTCTCCAGAAAAAACGCAGATCCCCCGTTTACTTGGATTTGTTTACAGGCAAGTCTCACCTTCTCCAATATGGCAGCAAGTTGACGTATCGCTACAACAGGCTGACACAATCAATACACCGTCTAGATATGTTTATGGCAATAATAGACAAATCCAAACTGTTGACACAATGTTGAAAGCACACTGTTGTCTAAAATATAACTGTGTGTTATAGTATCATCCTTTCAAACTCGGAAAGACTAACCCAGGCCAAAAGTACACTGAAGTTTGTGGACAGAGGTTACACAGCATAGCTATACAGTAGTGTGCAACTGGGAATGTTGGCTTATTGAGTCTCTCCTGTAACATCTAGTTAACTCAATAAAGACATAAGAACTGCTGCAGATCTTGTCTGCAGGTGTGCTGTGAACCTCTTCATATTGGGATGTGTTACCGTATCTCCAGGCTTGACGGACACAGCCACCACTGTGCCTGGCATTGGTGAGCGCAGGATGCTGCTGGTGTCTTCTGATACTTTTTCTGGCATGTAGGAGTTGAACTCTGCAGCTAACTTTGACAGAACGCGAACCTTAAACTACATAAAAATACACAGTGTAAGAAACACAGGAAGGAGGTGTCTCGTACTATAATGAAATCAAGAGGATTTTTTTTTATAAAATAAAAACCATAGTCACTACTAAAGAGAAACACCACCAATTTTACATGGTAAAGTCTATTTACAGGTCTGGGTAAGTACAAGGTTGGAATTATCATCATTCCTTCCAGATACAATAATCAGTACACATGGAACTAAACTGAGTTTGTTCAGTGCTACAGTTTAGACAGTAAAATACATACTATGAAAAAGACAAAAAACAAATACAAAGACAGTAAAGTGCAAGTAGTATTAAACTGAGTACAGTGTATTGAATGAACAGAGCCGTCATGCATGTGAAGATGTGCCTGTTTGATTAAAAAAGTTCTTCTACGTAAAATTCGTAAAAAATACCACTACATATGTGAAAAGTTGTATAAACAAGATTCAGCAGATTTCAGTTAGATAACACGAGGATGAGAGACAGCAGCCTGTGAAATAATGTGTGTGATTATTTATTTCAATTCCAAGCAGACATACAACCTTACCGATGTGCCCATGAACTGCAAGATAATCCTTCCTGAAGCATCTCTGGACAGACACTGTGACAAAAGACAAAATGTTATCTGCAGTACATCTGTACTCTCTACAACTCTGCAAACATTTGTTCTATTAATCTGCAGAGGTTTTTCAACTCTTACAGTGTGGTTGTGTGAGGTAAGAAATAGAAAAGATATAATTTAACAAACCTGTGTGTGTGTGTGTGTGTGTGTGTGTGTGTGTGTGTGTGTCTGCGCTGGTTGCTGCTGAGCTCAGACGTTATGACGTTGACATTGCTGCCTTGAGTGAGACCAGACTTTTGGACGAGGGTTCCCTTAAGGAAGAAGGCCAGGGTTATACCTTTTTCTGGAAGGGGTACCCCACAGGAGGACCACACCACCATGGTGTTGGTTTGGCCATTAAAAACAGCCTACTGCCCAGTTTCACTGAAACACCCACCGGCATAAGTGAAAGACTTATGTCCATCCGTATCCCCTTGGCAAAACAATGCTATGCAACTCTTCTCAGCGCCTATGCACCAACTCTTCCATCTGAGAATGAGGCAAAGGACCAATTCTACCAGGAACTAGATGAGGCCCTACAGCACATCCCTAGCAGTGATAAAATTCTCTTGCTTGGTGATTTTAATGCCAGGGTGGGGAAAAAACACCTAGTATGGAATGGAGTGATAGGGAAGCAAGGCATTGGGAAAGTTAATGCCAATGGCATGAGACTACTCAGTCTCTGTGCAGAACATGACTTAACAATCACCAATACAACCTTTCAACAGAAAAACAAATACAAGGCCTCCTGGATGCACCCACGATTGAAGCAATGGCATCTGCTAGATTATGTCATCACGAGACGCAAAGACGTGCATATCACATGTGCAATGAGAGGTGCTGATTGCTGGACCGACCACCGCATGATCATCTCCAAACTGCAAGTGACAATACGACCTCCTGTCCGTCTCAGAAAAGCTGGCAAGAAGCGGCTAGACTGTGCCCAGCTTGAGGAAGCAGAGGCCCGGGACAACCTACGACGCTCCACTGCTGGAAAGCTGCAGGAAATCGACTCCGTCCTGAGCCCTGATGGCAGTGTTGATGACAACTGGACCTGTCTCAGCTCAAAGCTATATGAGGCAGCAGCTGAGTCCATTGGATACCGCCGGAAGAAGCACCAGGACTGGTTTGATGAAAATTCATAATCAATCCAAACCATTGCTGGACACCATGCACAAGGCACACAACGCAGTCTTGAACAACCCCACATCTGGAGGCTAAAACAGCACTGGAGAACAGCAAGGAAGGAGGTGCAGTCTGTTTTGCGAAAACTGAAGAATGACTGGTGGACTGGCAAGGCTAGAGAAATCGAGAATTTTGCAGTGAAAAACGACATGCACAACTTTTATAATGCTGTGAAGACTGTCCATGGCCCAAAGAACTCTTCCCTCTCACCCGTGAAGTCCGCTGATGGCTCAACCCTCACAAAAAAGGAACAGAAGAAAGTGGTGGACAGATGGGCTGAATACTTCCAGGCTCTTTTGAACCAAGCTGCCACTCCTGATTTGGCAGTCCTGGAAGAGCTTCCCTGCTACGCAACCATTGAAGAACTGGATCTTCCACCAACCTTCTCTGAGGTCCTGGCTGCAGTCAGGTCACTTAAGAACAACAAGACCCCTGGCCCTGATGGCATCCCTGCAGAGATCCTCAAGAATGGAGGCTATTTCTGCACAAGAGCAGTCTTCAACCTTATAACTAATGTATGGAAGCATGAAGCAGTCCCCCAGCAATGGCGGGACACAAATGTCGTCACCATATATAAAGAGAAGGGGGAGAAGTCTGTCTGCGGGAATAGTAGGGGAACATCCCTTCTCTCTGTTGCCAGCAAGGCTCTTGCCAAAGTGATGCTGTCCAGACTCATACGGAGCATAACAGAACATCTACTACCCGAGTTTCAATGTGGCTTCAGGAAGAATCGCAGCACTGTGGACATGATTTTTACAACTCGCCAGCTACAAGAGAAGTGTAGAGAGCAACATCAAGATCTGTGTATGGCTTTCGTGGACCTATCAAAGGCCTTTGATATGGTCAACAGAGACTTGCTCTGGGCCGTCCTTCTTAGGGTTGGCTGCCCGCAGAAGTTTGTTAACATCCTGCAGAGTTTCCACGAGGGGATGATGGCTCAGGTGACAACAGGAGGACAGGAGTCCAGGCCCTTCAAAGTATGCACAGGTGTCAGGCAGGGTTGTATACTTGCACCTGTACTCTGTAACATTTTTCTCATGAGTGTCACCTGGCTACTGCACAAAGACGTTGAAGGAAGCAGTGGTATTCTGGTGGATTACAGGCTGGACGGGAATCTGTTTAACATCAGGAGGCTCCAAGCTGCTACAAAGGTTAAAACTGTAAACCTTGTGGAGTTACAGTATGCAGACTGACTGTGCCTTTGTGGCAAATACACCACAGGCCCTGCAAGCAACATTAATAGCTGCTGTGAAGGCCTATAGCAGACTGGGTCTCACTGTGAACACTGTTAAGACGGAGGTACTCTACCAGTGGAACTCCCCTCCCCCAACTCGACCACCATCACCTGTCTTCAGCATTAACAACATACCTCTAGCAGTGGTCTCAGACTTCAAATATCTTGGGAGCATCATCTCTGAAACCTGCAGCATGGACAATGATGTCCAAAACCAGATAAAGGCTGCTTCAGCTTCCTTTGGTAGGCTGCGCAAGAGGGTTTTCCTGAATAAGGACCTCAGCATACAGACCAAGGTTGCAGTCTACCAAGCTATCTGTGTCTCCACCCTACTCTATGGCTGTGAAGCGTGGACCCTGTATCGCCGTCACATCCATCAGCTGGAGAACTTCCACATCAAATGTCCTTCCACATCAAATGTCCTTGGCATCCTTGGACTAACTTGGCGCGACCGTGTACCACACACGGAAGTCCTGAAGAGAACTGGTACCAAGAGCATGGAGGCCACTTTTCTTCAATACCAACTGCAGTGGGTTGGCCACACCATCAGGATGACAGAGGACTGACTTCCACGGCAACTGCTGTATGGTCAGTTACGCCATGGTCAGCGATCTGCAGGAGGTCAAAAGCGGAGATACAAGGACCAGCTCAAAACAACGCTCAAGAAGTGTGGGATACAGTACATACAGCTGGAAAGCACTGCCACAGACCGTCCTCTCTGGAGGAGACTTTGCCAAGCTGGCATTCAGCACCTGGAAGAGGATAGGAGTGAGGCGAGGGAAAGGAAGCGCCAGGGGAGGAAGATGGTCACTGCAGCCAAGGCGACAACAATTACTGACTTCATATGCCCTCACTGTAATAGACCTTGTGGCTCACACATTGGACTTCATAGTCACCTCAGAACTCACCAAAAGAAGAAGCAGAATGTCATCATCGGATACGATGGACTACCATAAGCAAGTAAGTGTGTGTGTGTGTGTGTTACCTGTAGCATCCTGTCTGTGCCGTTGATGGTGAGTGGTAGCAGTGCAGAAGCCAGGTTCCACTGTCCACTGACTTCCACCTTTCCTCCATCTACCTCCACCTACAGAGACAAACACCACAGACGATTCTGTTACTAAGTGTCCTGGTGGCTGCGATGGCTCGGACTCATTACCAAGAGACACTTGTCTGATGTCCATCCAGATGTAGTGCAAATTCTAACCAAATTTTCGCAATACCAACAAAATAAAATGCAAATTTACGCTCTTTCCCATTCACTACTTTTATGGGAATACTGGGAGCTGGTTCATCAAGATAAGCAGTAGGGTGCTGGAGCATCAACGTAACCAGCCCACTCACATGACTACATGACTATGATAACATGGTAATGTTGTAATCACATACATGTATTAGCATCTCAGTTTTAATGATACTTTTCTTATCTTTTTAATAGAACGGGGCCTAATGCTTTTGGCACACTCTTGTCGTTATCCACAGATACTGATATATTTAATTTGTTGATGGATGCAGATTTAATACTCACAGTATAAACATTTCCTGATTTGGTAACCTCCACAGAATGGCTTCCGTCCTCTAGCTCCACATGCAGCTCCCAGGTGCTACATTTCACGGGAGAAGATGACACCCTGCAACACACACATGCAGTTCTATCTTATCTAATTTCAGGTTATAGCTGCAAGTTGTGAACATTAATTAAGCTACCAATCAAAACGGTTTCTGTTCTCTAAACCTAAAGAACTTTCAGCTGAATCTTGAGTTATTTACTTTTGCCTACTATACACTGGAAGACTGAAAAAACTTCAAGTGTGGGAAATAACACTTCAAAATACTTTTAAAAGACTAAAGACTGACACTCTCCCATCTTTCAGGGTCACTATTTGCAAGACTACAACTAGATTCATTTTGAAATTTTTTCCCATCCTGCTCCTGGTGGAATGTTACACCAAACTTCCCTTATAAAATATGACACTAACAATTCCTTCTGTGTCTACATGAACACATAACTCCAGAGAGAGTCTCATATGTCTACAGTATTCTCGTAATATAGCATCAATATAATCCATAAAGATAAACTGTATTTGTGTACAAACTTTACATTTTGGATTTTGTTGCCTTAAAGGGAAATTTCAGTTTATTTCAACCTGTCTCCTAGCAGATTTCAGGCATGGTATAAGATCGCTGCTTGTTCTCGCGATATTTCGGCCGCGCTTTGGAAAGCAGAGCTAGATGGTAAACAAACATGGCAGCACACCGGTAAGGTAAGACAACACGTTTACATGTTGTTTTCTATATGTTCTCTGACATTTATCCTAACGATATGAGGCGGTCTTTGTGGAAAAAAAGCTTGTTTAGTGGACTAACTTTGCACTTGAAGTATGTCCGTTCACTTACGTTTTAACAGGTCTGAGGCTACTATGCACCCCGGCTGTATCTAGGCTAACGGCTAACATGCTAACTATTATTTTTATGTTACTAGTCACTTGAAACAAATTTAGGACGACAGGAGACAGGTTGAAATAAACCGAAATTTCCCTTTAACTTGCTACCAGCCTCCATTGGTTAGCTGCGGTATTTTAGTGGGAGGAGACTGTGGGAATGAGAGGTGAACTGTTTTAAAAAATGAAGATTTCTCACTAAAGTAAGTGCTGGTTGGTCGATCAGATATATGCTGAATTAAACACGGACTTTTGTTCACTCCAAAGCTTCACCAGTTTCTCCTCCTTTTCCACATGAGAGAACGAGAGAACTGAGAATTATTCATGTTCTTCCATGTTTACAGTCTAGTGGTTTGCTACTTCCTGTGCGGTGCTGGAGAGAGCGAAGCTATTGGTTAACATCATTGAACTTCACTATTTGCATGAGCCAAGACTGAAAAACCTCATGATAATATTAATCAAGACAGGACAAAGACTGACTTAAGACAGCTTGGACTGAGCTTTACAACCATCTTACACCAAATGACCAAGATCATGGGAACGTAAACCAACCAAAGTAACACTCTCATAATTTTATTACCACACTGGAAATTTGTCTGCACTACAATGACAAGTACATTTACATGACATGAGAGAAAAATTGATTGTGTTAGTTCGACTAAAACCAGACTTACTAACATGTTTACATGTTAGTCCGACTTTAATCGTACTAAACTGAATTTCTCAAATTTGGATTAACACATCCAGATAATGAAATTACTCTTGCATGTACAGTATACAGTCAACCAGACCCAAACTGGCCTAGGCACTCGGTGTACGACATGCAAGTCAAATAGCATTAACTACATGACAAAAAAGAAGCTGGTAACAATATGGTGAATCTACATCTAGAGCTGTGCATTTTTAGACGGACAAAATGTACAGAACTGTAAAGTTGTCCACCATGGCTGCTAGTTAACCATAGCTAACTTGTTTGTCGATTGTTTGGTCTGTGACGTAATAGGTCAACCAGAAAAAGGTCTAATACTACCAAGCTGAGAGGGGGCATATCGCCACCTATCATAGTGGAGGCGGACATATTTCTGTCAAAAAATCGATTCCTCTCCCGTGCTTGTACACTGGGACAAGGACAGTAGTCCAATTAAAGAGACTAGCTGTAGCTCGACTGAACTGTGCATGTAAACATACTGAGTGAAACTGCTTGAAAAGGCTTCGGTGTGAGACTGACATTAGCTTCTTCAGTAATTGAATGCTAAATATAAATGGATTCAATTACGGATGTGAATGGATTCAGATGATTTAATAAGCAAGTTCAAAGCTGAAATAATTGGATAAAATGCTATCAAACTCCAACCTTATGTTACAGACGCATTATTATTTATTTAAAAATTATTGACTCCTAAATTTCTGTCTGTGTCCCTATTTTTTTTCTAAAATGCCCCTAAAAATAAAAATAGGTGCAGAGCTCTGCAACAGTAACAGATGCCATGCAAAAACTGATCAACAACAGCTTTTTGTAACATTTTAGTTTCCACTGTGTTGATAATGTGTTGAGGCTCTATAAACACACTGCATTTTTCAGGAAATGGCTTATGACTGCAGAGAAGACGTGCAGCATACTAAGACCCTGTACCCCCCACCACAACAAGCCTGCTGGCGTCCTCACCTCAGGTCACCCAGGACCTTCTGTGAGCGGAGTTGAGCAGTGATGTAGAGCGCTGCTGCCGAGGCCAACAGCTCCCTGCGTGTGTCTACATTCAGCTGGTGACCCTTGAAGCCATCGGGATAAACCTCCGGCAGGAAGTTGGTGCTGATATCACCAGAGATAAAGCGGGGGTGGGTGATGATTTCCCTCAGGAGGGGGATGTTGTGCGTCACACCTGGAGAGTAGATTACCACACTTTATCACAGGAAGTAAAATAAGATGATGTCCATTTAAAAAGTGACTGTGCGTCTTAGCTGACATTCACTCTGAGAATCTGTGTACCTCTGATAACATAGTTATCCAGCGCATCCTCCATTCTGGCAAGGGCTTCAGCTCGCGTAGCTCCATAGGTAACCAACTACAAATACACACCAGAGGAAATGACTGCAGAGCCACAAATCCTTGTGGAATTGTGAAATTTTGTAATCTACTTTTTTTGTGACCATCTGTTCTTATCAATAATGAGAACCACACTAAATCATCATATATTCAATACATCACTGACCTTAGAGATCATGGGATCATAGTAGATGCTGATGTCACTTCCCTCCTGAATGCCGCTGTCCACACGCACCTGACAGAGCGAGGAGCAGAGAACAAAATGATCATACTGGCAGGACACTTACCTGTCACTCAGGGAGACCAACTGGAATGTGTAAAAAGCGAATATCTTAGAAAAACAAATCAGGTGAAACTACAAACAACATGAATGCTCTCCTCTGTTGCAGCTCAAATGTGCTAAGTAGGTTGTGTTTGTTTGTTACATTAACATCCTGCCTGGCGAAGCTTTAAAGGATAACTTCAGCATTTTTCAACCTGGACTCTATTTCCCCACGTGAATTGATCAAGGACACTGATGTGAAAAACAGTTTTTTAAATTGTTCCAGTAGTGAGCGAGCCAGCAGCGTTTGGCAGCCACAGAACGAGCTGCAATGGAGGCACATGGGGCAATAAAACATTGTTACTGTATGTCCATTAAAAGTGGTTATTTTTGAACCAGAGCGGCTCAGATTGTTATTATAAGTGTCTGAAGTGTCTCTTTATCTTTCACTTGATATGGTCTGTTTGTTATTGCCTCGTTAAGCAGAAGTAATAGATAGAAATATCATGAGATATTGCAGGAAAACAACAGTGGAAATGTGTGTGAGTTCTGGAGAGAGAATAATAATCAGAGTATTTTACAGTAAACATAGTTTAGTGTTGTTTATTCAGTGTCATGGATGATTATTTCCCAGATGTCAATTATGTGAATGAGGCTTTTGAGTTTGACTGTTGCCTGTATTTATGTGAGCTGGAGTACATGCATAAAGACTGTACAAGGAGAGAGAGAAGGGGGAGAAAAAAAGGCAGTGGAGGGCAGCTGCTGCAAGGCCATGAAGCTGGCAGCTGTGACCCTCTGTCCACAGAGAAAAAATGCCAATTTGGTCAAGAATGGTTCATGTTTGCGCATTTCCGACCTGTGCCCACAAAATGAGGAGCTACACTTGGAGTAGCTGTCATGGACTATCTTTGTCAGATATGGACGCGCTAAAGTTTTGGCTAGTTGTGCTACAAATGGATCCTGACACTGCTGTCCATATACTGAGCATGCAGATCTGTAGGTTTGCAGTGACCACAGGGATGACTATGTGTTCTATTCATTAAACTCTGTGGATTTTCTTGAACTAAGCCATCATAGCATGTCCCCAAAATGTTTCTGCAGCTGACCAATAGGAAGCAACAGTGTTTCCAAAGAAGAGTGTGGCCCGGAATATTTTTGCGTAAATGAATGAGCATCTGTCTGATCTTCATAAAACCTGTTGGTAATCTTTAATGCAGGCATCATGAACTGTTAAAGGTCTTGATCCTACCCAGCTTTCAAGTTTTAAAGGTCTATGCTGTCGTGAACCCTGGCATTGCCACTTGCGTCTATATTTTTTTTTCAGGTGTGTCAGTAGGGACGGAGATTATTCCTGAAACGTTGTAAAAAAGGCTGCGTGTACGGAGTTTTTTATTTTATAATGCCATGTTAAAATTAAAACTTATACATAATGTGTGTGTCTCTCTCTCCCTCCCTCCCTCTCACACACAGACACACTCACTCACTTACATTACTGAGGTTGAGTGGCTCTTGGTATCCAGACAGCCGTCCAATAGAGGGAAGACCAAAAGACCTGTAAGGATCCTAAGAGAAGAAACAACAGAGAAAAAGACAAACTACAAAAACTGAAAATCAGGTTTCACTCACAACAGCAGCATGAGCAGAAAGCTACATCAACAAAGGGGTGAATGTTTAAAATGGAAACACTTTTATTTAGCCCTACTTCACTGGCTTAACCCCAACATACATACACACACACACACACACACACACACGCACACACACACACACACACACACACTGACCTCAGCGTAGACACGACTCTCAATGGCCCAGCCGTTTATTGGGATATCTTTCTGTTTGTGCTGCAGTTTGTAACCCTTGGCAACCCTGATCATCTGCTCCACCAAGTCCAGGCCAGTAATGCACTCTGTAATTGGATGCTCCACCTAGGGTCAAAGGTTAAACAGACACAGTTTCTGCAGGCACCCTTATGTCCTTACTTCACATTAAAAGCCATCACAACAGTCCGATAGAACTGACCACTTTGGAACCCTGGTAGCTGAATGGCTACAGCGCATGCCACATAACCACATCATCACCAGTTTGATTCTGACTACACCTTTGTTGCATGTCATGCCCCTCTGTCTCTCCTTGACTTTCTTCTTAGTTCTTCCTAATTCTTCCATTGAACACTTAACACACATGAAAAGTAAACTTGTTCCTCGATGGATCTTTTCAAGTGAAAATAAAGGTTACAACAATAAAATTTATCAGAGGGCACAAGGAAGTGCACACACACACACAGACCTGTAGTCGTGTGTTCATTTCCAGAAAGTAGAAGTTCTTATTCGAATCCACCAGGAACTCCACAGTGCCGGCAGAGGAGTACTGCACAGCCTTGGCCAGCTGCACTGCCTGCTCACCCATTGCCCGCCGTGTCTCAGGATCCAGGAAAGTGCTGCAGAGGACACGACACACTCAGAGTCACTTCAGTAGTGAAAATGGGGAGTCTAACAGAAAAAAATTCCACAGTTTGATATTCAACAAACCTATCTCTTTTAGATACATGATAAAAACTCACTCATGTGAGAATTCTTTATCCCCCGCTCTTTAGAGCTGAGTAGTGCATATGCATACTTTTTTCACAGCCAGTCACCACATGCTGAGGAATGCTGGGGAGGCACCTAAGGAGGTTTATTACATGTCTTATTAGGCATTTCCTATTGTCTACATGGTACTCTCCAGGTACACACTAATACATCTACATATTGTCAAAGACATAAGTTATCTGATTAGTGGTGAAAAACAGCTGTACATATTGAAATACAACAACCTTTATTACTCAGCCATATGTTAGAGAATGTAAAAAGAACTAGAAACCATACAGCCCTTCAACTCAAACCACTGTATTGTCCCGTCCAAAATATATAATTTAATAATAACTTTTGTTGTTTTGACATGATAACAATACAGCGTGTTTCAGGGTTCACGTGACATGAGGTAACTTGCCCATCTCCCCAAGAGAGCAGGCAAAATGTAACGAGCTGAAGAGGGGGGCCGGGGGGCAGGAACCCGGAAAAAAGGCCTGTAGGCTTTGCTATGTAGTTATGTTAGGGCCTTGTGTCGTAATTCAAAATAATAGTAGTAATGGTATTAGTAAAAAATAGTTAAAGATAAACATTTTGATTTTTTTCCCTCCCCATTTGTGGCCCCCTCTATGGTCACAGCGCCCAGGCACTGATCTTCAAAGTTCATTGCAGTCTTACTGAATCAAGAGCACTACATAAACTCATAAATGTGGAAAACACTACAACATTACAGGGTGCCTGCCATGTAGACTGAGCTGCTCAAACAAAACAAAGTACAATATTTTGCAGTCAGTTTAGTAGTAATGCACAGTATGGCTTCAACTCTGGTTTAACTACACTGCTGAAGACCATGAGTGCTGCTGATCAATGCTTTTTCTGCCCTTCTTGTGCAAATTGGCTGCTTTCGCTCATGTTGATCTGAAACAAAGAAATGCAAAGAGCAGAGAGTTTCTCACAAACCTGGGAGCTTCTTCCACCACCTTCTGGTTCCTCCTCTGGATGGAGCACTCCCTCTCATTCAGCCACAGAGCATTACCATGTTTATCAGCAAGCACCTGCGACAAGCACACAGTATTCTCAGGTTCTTTCTGGTGAAACATAGCCAGTAGGAATTTAGTGTGTTTTATCTTTTTTGTCACAGTAGCTGGATTGTTTTATGAAACAGCTAATGTTGGTCACAATATAACACCAAGACAGTCAAACTTCAGGGATATCCATCTGTCCATTTAGGAAGCACAACTGAATGTGAAACAGTTTCACCTGCTTTGGTGCAAATGAAAGTGACAACAGGTGCAATGGAGAGGCAAAAGCTAGACAACCTCCAAAAAAGGGAATGGTTTTGCATGTGGTGGCCTCAGACAGTTGCTCTCTCCTTATCCTTCCTGACTGATTCTTCTCTAGTTTTGTGTTCTGCTAGTGTCCTTGTCACTACTGGTACCATGAGGTGGTACCTGCAGCCCAATCAGGTTGCACAGGTAGTCCAGCTCCTCCAGGATGGCACATCAATACGTTTGGTCGCAAGTAGGTTTGCCATGTCTCCTAGCACAGTCTCAAGAGCATGGAGGAGATACCAAGAGACCGGCTGTTACATGAGGAGAGCTGGACAGGACTGTCGAAGGCCATCAACCCAGCAGCAGGACCGGTATCTGCACCAGAGCCCTACAAAATGACCTCCAGCAGGCTAATGGTGTGCATGTTTCTGACCAAACTGTCAGAAACAGACTCCATGAGGGTGGCATGAGGGCCAAACATCCTCTAGTGGGACCTGTGCTCACATCACAGCATTGTGCAGCTCAACCGGCATTTGCCAGAGAACACCAGAATCGGCCGGTCCGCCAATGGCGCTGTGTTCTCTTCACAGATGAGAGCTGGTTCACACTGAGCACATGTGACAGGGGTGAAAGAGTCTGGAGACGCCGTGGTGAACGTTACGCTGCCTGTAACATCATCCAACATGACCGGTTTGGTGGGTCAATGATGGTCTGCGGAGGCATATCCTTGGAGAGTCACACAAACCTCAATGTCACAGCCACCGGTACCCTTACTACTAAGATTTTCAACTTGAATAATTAATTCATCAAGATTTGGTGTGTGATTTAAGTGTTCCATTAATTATCTGAGCAGTGTATTATATCCTGATCACAATGAAATTGACATTAACATTCAATGACATCAAACTTCTGTGTGCCTGTGTATTATACCTGGATCTCTATGTGCCTGGGGTTGTCTATGAACTTCTCAATGAGCAGCCTGTCATCACCAAAGCTGGATGCTGCCTCCTGAGACGAGAACCGGAAACCTTCCCTGTTATAGTACAAAAACACATTCACACAAAAGTTGCATCAGGCTTCAAGGTAGCTAATACAAACAGTCTTTCCAGTGGTCTGAAGTAACAGTATAAAATAGGCAGAGAAACAGGATCTCTAATAGAGGTGAGACAAAATATTGATAAGAGAATAAATCGTATTACTTCCTCCTCTGATATGTTATCGATTCACTGACAACAAATATCGATATTTTTGTTAAAACAGGCACCCTAAATGGATTCCCTGCCAGTTTGATTTACCAGTCACTACTCCATGACTCCTTGTGGTGGAGTTTATCAAGTCAATGAGGGTAAAGTGAAGGGATGTTAACAAGCTTGCAGTAAGAGAAGAAACTCACAGGGGTAAATGGCAGACAGGGCAGACAGCAGCAGAAAACAAATCAGAGAAGCACCGCCATCCTCATCACCGACAAACAAATTCGATAGAGACTATGATATAGGCAAGAACTGTCTCACAACAGTGAAGTACCGTAAAACTTCAATTAAAACCCCAGTCCCAATTAAATGCCAAGTTCCTTTTCCTAGCCTGGTGTGGCGACACATATTAACAAAGAAACACCTGTCTCAATTAGACATCTTGTCTGGTTGCCAAGCAGTTGTGTTTTTATAGAAGTTCTTGGATGTACAGTATAAAACTGGGTTGTTGTCTACCCACTCATGCTAATGTTAGTTCGCTGCTTCGATCACGCATACAAATGTAACTGTAAGTACTAAAGAAGACCATAATTCATTCAGATTTACTCGCATGGTAAACCAAAGAAACCAAAAACAAAAAGAGGTGACACCGTCATAAAGTCAGAATATGTGTCCGTTCCTGGATTACCCAGTAAGTTATTTATATTTGTTTAGTCCGTAGGGGTCCACAGATCAAAATAATCAAGTGTTTGTCATAAAAAATTAATCCAAGTGAATATTGTTTTAACAGGATAAAGCGGTGTTGTGTCAGTACACTGGGTGCCATAAACCTCGGGTGCTGTGAAATAATTGTAGCAACTCTCTCTCTCTCTGATGCCCTGTCTGCTAGAGCTAGATCAGATGAATGATTCATAATTAATAAGTTATTTAAATCCTATTTTTTGTACAAGTAATATTCATACTGGTTTAAATAAACAATTTGATTGTATTTCCCATCTTTGCTAAGCAACAGTTTTGTGTAAAAGGAATTAAAGGCCGGTCTAATGTAGATGCCTGTCCCAAATATAAGCCTGTTGAGTTCAATGATTTAAGCAAATAGCCTGGCACATACAGTGACTGTTGATGCAGAGTAACTCCCCCATGTTTTGTTTAAGCTTTGATGTCTCATTGTTTTCATTAATAAAGTTGTTACAAAAGAGCAGATGGTTAGATAGTGCAGATTGAGGGTGCGACAGAAACAGACCTCGTCTCCTCATCGTTCCAAGCAATCCTCATCCCTTTCCCTCCTCCTCCTGCAGATGCTTTGATCATCACTGGGTAGCCTGGCAACAACACAAAGATAAATCAACATCGCAACTGTAAAGGTGCAATTGTGAAAGTATGTTCACCATTCTGTGACAGAATGATTGAGAATCGTACTTCTTTGTCACAAAAAATGAGAGCATTTAGGGGAATGGGGAGTGCAAAGGTAGTGTGACTCCAAGAGCCACAATAGCCACATTTCTGGGAAATAAATCAGGTGTAAATCAATCTGGAATGATCCTTTAAGCTTAACTAAAGATTTTTTCATGATCAACTAAAATCACCTCCTTGCTGTTGTATGCCTCCGTGCACCAGCCAAGTTTCAGAAAAGTGTTCAATGCATAATATTATGACATCACAGTGAAGTTGACCTTTGACCTTTTGGAAATAAAATGTCATCACTTCATCTTTTTTCCTATTTGACATTTGTGTGAAGTTTTGTCATAATTAGTGTGCAAATTCTTGAGTTATGGCCAAAAACACGTTTTGTGTGGTCACATTGACCTTTGACCTTCAACCAACAAATTCCAAACAGTTTATTGTTCAGTCCAAGCAAACACTTGTGCCAAATTTGAAGAAATCCCCTTAAGGCGTTCTTGAGATCAGAGTCGGAATGAGACAGAGAAAGACCTGGACCTTTGAGCACCAAAATCTAATAAGTTCATTGATGAGTCTAAGAGGACATCTGTACCAAATTTAAAGAAATTCCCTCAAGGGATTTTTGAGATATCGCGTTCACGAGAATGGGACAGACAGACAATCCCAAAACATAATGCCTCCAGCTGGAGCTACCACCAGGGCAGAGGCATAAAAACAAACAAAAAACCCTCTACAGGACAGTTCTGTGGACAGATGAAACAAAGATAGACTTATTTGACAACAATAACAAGAGCTTGTTTAAAATAAACTCTTAATTCACAGAGTTAGATGTGAAAATATGCTGGCTCTACACCTGTTTTTCCCTGCTGCCTTTCTCTGCCTTTTCTCTGCTCACTGTGCAGCGGCTCACTCTTTCTTAGAAGAAAGAGCACTAACTTAACAAATTAAAAATAAAAAAAATCCCCACCCAAACCCTTCCCCAAAAAATAGCCAGCAACATACCAAGCTAACTGCCAATATATTCATCCAATCCCCCGCCGTCTCAAACAACAAACAGTGCTGTCCATGATTCTGAAACAACAGCTTAGCGATAGTCACATGTATCTTGGCAAAATATCTGGTTGATTTCAATACTTCTGTAGATACACAGGCTTAAAGCTTCATCAGAGAGGCAAAAAATACAACATACGATCCCTTGTGGCACCGGGTTTCATAAATGAGAATATAGATGAATTTAAAAAAAATAAATTGACAATCAGTCGACAGTAGACAAGACCTCACCAATCAGATTCAGCTATGTCAACTCTTAGAAGGGGATGCCCCTGGGGCGTCGGTTGATTAGTGGATTGAGCAGGCGCCCCATGTACAAGGCTGCTGCCGCAGCGGCCCAGGTTCGACTCCAGCCTGTGGCCCTTTGCTGCATGTCATTACCCCCCTCTCTCTCCCCCTTTCATGCTTAACTAAGCTATCTATAAAAAGGCAAAAATGCCCAAAAAATATCTTTTTAAAAAAAAAAAAAAGAAAAGAAGGGGATGCCCCTTGTTATCTGAAAATGCACAAAAGCTGTACAAAAGAAACCAAACTTTTCTCATGTGATAAAGAAGTACAATCCCCAATCAGTCTGTCACAGATAAAGAACAGTTGTAGAAATCATTACAACCCCCAAACTGCCATGACAATATGTATAAGCGTAATGTAATGTCCAGTATGTAGGATTTAGGGGCATCTATTGGCAGAAATGGAATGTAATATTCAGAGCTATGTTTTCATGAAATTTATAATCACCTGAAACTAAGATGTCTTGTGTTTTGGTTACCTTCAAATGAGCTGTTAATATCTACATATGTAACAGGTCCTTAACCACAGGGTCTGCTTACATGTTTTACAGTAGCCCAGAACAGACACACAACACTGGCTCTAAATGGGGCCATCTGCATTTTGGCATCAGCTGTCATGGTTTTCCTTCATGCTTTGTGCACGGGAGAAGTCAGTCACAGTTCTACAACCTCGACACTAGATGCCCCCAAATCAGACCTTTATACACTCTCTCACACTCTCTCTGTCTCTGTCTCTCTCTCTCACACTCTCTCTCTCTCTCTGTCTCTCTCTCTCTCTCTCTCTCTCTCTCACACACACACACTTCAGAAGTGATGACTTACCAATTTCCTGTGCGATCTTCACAGCATCCTCAGCATTCTGACACAGAGAGGGTTAATGGTTACTGATGATCAACCAAAGCATTACTGACAACTCTGCAGTAACTGTCTCATCCATGCTTTCATCCAGCTTGTCCCCACACTGAGAGTAAGGCTCGTCTTGATGGTTTCAGATATGCAGCAGTTCTGTGTCTTGATTAAAATGTGATTGTGTAGTGTTTTATAATGGATCAATCCGGTTGTGGGTGAAGTAGAATGCTGAAATCTTTTGTGTAAACAGAACCCAATTAAGCACATTAGATATTGCCCATTGCCGTCCATAAACAATACAACTGATTATAAGAATTCAGTAAAGAGTAAGAAGAGCAGCACATTAAGAGCCCTTGTTCTTTTTGCATACATGCACTGCTGTGTATGTGTGGCCGTACCTTTACGACTCCATCAAATCCTGGGATGACGTTGACCTTGGCAGCCTTAGCGATCAGCTTGCTCTCAATTTTATCCCCCATAGCCTGGATAGCATGGGTGTCTGGGCCAATGAATGCTACATCCTCTGCTGCCTAGCAACAAAACAATAATACCATTAACGTTACCATATCAGACTTATAATAATACCAGAGAGAGATCAAAGAGCTGAAGTCCCATCCCACTGCAGGGCCTGGCTCCACTCGCCTCACAACAGGTTTGCACTCAGTAAATCTTTGATCTATCGTGGTGGGGTTTGTTTGCTGTGTTTTAGTAACTATTGTTATAATTGCCAGTAAAATCTGAGACTGGTCATTTAAATTAACAGTTCAACATTTTGGTAAATACACATATTTGTTTTCTCGCAGAGAATGCTTGAATGCTGAAATCAAAGTTAATGAAGTGCATTAACTTTGATTTCAGCATTCAAAACTAATCAAAGTACTGTTAACACCTGACTGCAGGTATAGTTTTGTAAACAGAATAACTGCTCTCATGTGAAAACATAAACCCTGCCTTCCAAATAGCATACCATTTCTTTTAACTATCATTACGTACTGCAGCTGCCCTGACAAAGTACATACTGTTGCATGGACTACGCACACAAGGCAAGGCAAGGCAATTTTATTTTTACATCAGATTTCATACACCAGGGCAATTCGATGTGCTTTACAGGGCAATAAAAACACAGCAAAGGTGGGGCGTCGGTGGCTTAGTGGTAGAGCAGGCGCCCCATGTACAAGGCTGTCGCCGCAGCGGCCTGGGTTTGACTACAGCCTGTGGCCCTTTGCTGCATGTCACTCTCTCTCTCTCTCTCTCTCTCCCCCTTCACACTTGTCTGTCCTATCCATTAAAGGCTAAAAATGCCCCCAAAAAATATCTTTAAAAACACAGCAAAGGTAAAACACTTTTACCTTTTGGGACATACGTCCTCTTCATAACATTGTGTCTTAAACTTTGACCCTCTTGCTCATACTGTATATCTGTTCCAGTCCAGAGTGTGAAATTTGAAGTTAAAATAGAAAAAGTATTCAATTTGGAACGAAGCAGATCTTAAGGCTGTCACTTAACATTACCATGGAGATAGAACACGTATAAAACAAAATGCCATTTTCCACCAGAGGCGGAGGTCTTCCTGGAGTGCTCTGCTGTTGTTACTTTGCAATTCATGTAGTTTTAATTCTTAAGTAATACCTGCATACCTTGGACATTTTAACATGCAGTGTTATGGACCTAAATGGTAAATGGACCTGCACCTCTATAGCACCTTTCTAGTCCTCTGACAAAGCGCTTTTGACACTACGAGTCACATTCACCCACTCACATTCACACACTGGTGGCCGAGGCTACCATACAAGGTGCTACCTGCTACTCAGTTTTCAACACACTCACACACCCATGGAACAGCCATCAGGAGCAATGTGGGGTTCAGTATCTTGCTCAAGGATACTTGGACGTGCGGACTGGAGGATATGCATTTCTCTGTCATTGTTATTTTCATGGTTATGTCCTTTTGTTGTTGATACTTCACTGCGCAATAGTGACTTGAAGGTCCAATTATTTCTTGCAAAACTGCCTTAACTGTGCAGAACTGTGCAATAATTGGTGCAACTATTCAACTGTGCAATATTCTTCAGTATACTAATTTATTCTCACCAACACCTCTGTATGTTTACATTTATTCAACATATAATGCACACAACTATACATATTTCTTACGTTTATCCTTATTCTTGTTTTTTATTCTATTGATGTATATACTGTAGTGAACATTAGTGTAATAAAAATGTATACTTCTTGATGTAACACTGGTTTATACAGTGTAATGCAGCACTATGCACATACTTATATATTTTTACACACTTCCAGACACAGCACAGTGAACATATTTTTATTCTTAATATTTTAAGTACTAGTGTTAAACATTGTAGCATAATGCACAATTTTATTTCTATTTTATTATATTTCATTTATTTATATTTACACATTTCTTTTTCATGCTCTTTTTCTTACTTGTAATTCTCTACTCTTTACAGCGGAGCGACTGTATTGAATCACAATTTCCCCTCAGGGATCAATAAAGTACTCCTGAGACTGATTCTTTTATCTTTATGATTACTTTGTTGACTTAAACAATTAATATTCCTATTATTACTATCTATAAGACTGGTTATTAGTCACTTGAATGCACTGTCATCTGCCATTATGAGCTCTGAATGAGCAGTCACCTGTTAGTGGCTCAGTCAATGTGACGTACCTTCCACTGTGCAAAGGACTGTGGGTCAGAACTGCCAGAAAAGCATGCTGGCAAAATGCGATCAGATGCATAAGAACATCCTGGTATTTTGGCATATTGCATTTGACATACTATGTATTGGTACCTACTAAATCTTTATACTATGAAATAGTACTTAATACTAAATAGTATGGTAGTATGAGTATTGGAGCACACAGTAAGCTTTCAACAGCATCTTAGGGTGGATGTCAAGTTGAGATTGTGTTCACATATAGTTATTCAAAGGTAAACAATAAACTTCTACACCCCACTGCTCTTATGTCTTTGTGATAATAAATATAGTGAGTGCTTCTAGTCAAATACCCATTATTAACAACAGCTGACAATACCAATAACCCTTGAAGTACAACTGATACTAATAGAGTACCTTATGTGACAGTGACAGGGCTAACTGTTAGCATCACATGGCTAACGTTACCTTAGTTACTAACGGGTTTAATGACAGAATTGAGCATTCTCGGTGTCAGTGTGAGTTTGTTGGGACCATATAACAGCTAAGTACTGGATGTTAGCCACTGTTCCTGTGCTAGCTCATGCTAACCAAGAAGACACTTAACTGACCGTTTGCCGGGACGAGAGCAGCTCCAGAAACGGCAGCAACAGAAAGTTTGCTTTCCGTCTAGGATCAGACCCTAGCGCAAAAAGGATCAAATGCAGCTATGCCTTGACTGAAGATGTTTTCATACTACTTGGTACTGGGTTATTTCAGTTGACACCTTAATGTATTGAGTGCTGATACCCAGCTCTACTGCTGCTACAGTTGAGGTGCATTTAAAGCGTGAAACACTTTTTACCACTCAGAAAACAACTGCTTACAGTGTAATGACTGAGTCGCCATAATGTGTTCCACTACAGTATGGGTTAGCTATGCTGCAATAATACAATCTCATCCTGGTTAATCTCCACACTTGTCAAAGCCCCCCCCCCCCCCCCCCCAACACACACACACACACACTTTCATTAAACATTTGTTAATCAATCTTTAACAAAAATTATTCCCGTTAGTGAGACTAAAATAAATCATGAATAGGTCAAAGACTGTTTGAATAAATTAGAAACAAATGCACTTCTCAACAAAACAAACAAAAAAAGACAATTCCCATCTTAGAATTCGTTTGTAATTAATTCATTTTGAACTTATGGTTGTAAAGTGTGTGTTAAGAGAAAATAAGTGTGTAGCTGATTGTATGCATTACTCACCAGTCGCTTTGCAAACTCTTTGTTTTCAGAGAGAAACCCATAGCCAGGATGAACCTTTGCAGAGAAACAAATGACACTTTATTTGATTTGTTTTCAAAGGAAAGTTATAGACTGAATCACAGAAAGCCCACATGTGCAAATGAAACAGTGCTGAGGAACAACAACCTCAGTTGGTTAATTTTTAGCCACGTAAAAAAAGGCCGGCCTAAAAAATCAGTATTGTTTTAACTGAATGGCACTCTGGTTGCCAAGAGACAGCAGTTTACATGTCTGTATACTAACTGTACCATATCACACAGCTTTGTGTACTGACACACAGCCACGTGGTTCACTGTTTAGAGGTCCTACACCTTATCTGATGAGCAAGTGTATCAGGTACACAGAATGTCATGCATGCTGTCTACCACAGTCACATCATGTAATCCGAACCATGTAAATCCTTACAGCTTGTGCTCCAGTCGATCTGATGGCATCCATGATGGCATCCATGTTCAGGTAGCTCTTACTGGTGGGGGCAGGGCCGACACACACTGCTTCGTCAGCCATCTTTACATGAACCTAGATACAAGTACAAAGAGGAAAAGTGAATCCAGATGTGACCTTAGCAGGAGAGAATAAGACACAGATACACATTTACCTCGTACTCTTACTGTGTGTCTGTGTGTCCTTGAAACACCAAATAACACATTTAAAACTTCACCTTATGTATATTAATGTATTTACAGCCCCCTGACAGGTTATACAATACATTTGGTTTCATCAGAAACTCTGAGATATGTGGTACAAAGATGTACTTAATTTGACTTCAGGTCACTAGAACTGCAGCAATAGTCTTGTTACATTTCTTCTTCCTGGTTCAAGTTTCATCTATTGTCATTCTACAACACAGGGTGGCACAAGGAAATACATGCTGTAGTCCCTATACGCTACACAAGAACAAAAAACACAACAAACTATTTTTGTTTTGTTAAATGTCTGAGACATTCAGTTGTGATGTTCAAACTTTATCCATGCTCCACCTTTAACCCTGCTCTGCTCTCTGATGTGGGGATGGACGCCTGCATGTCTGAGTCCTAGATTTTGCTCTCCACTTTGTTCACACTTACCAGAGGCTTTTCAGGGTTTGACCACAACAGCTCTCTAGTGTTAATCAGGTTTAGAGAAGTGTGTTTGTTTCAGGACATACAACAGTTGTCAGTACACAAACACCCGAGCTGAAACAGGAGTAGATGTTGGCAAGAATTTCTTGAGAAATACTGACTTCCTGACTCTTAACCCAAATTCTAACCCTGGGTGAACACAGATGGTGACTCACAGCACTGGAGTCGACATCACTGTGAACAGCTACAGTCTGGATGCCCATCTTGCGACATGTCTTGATCACCTGATGGAAGAACACACAACATTAACACTGATGCTTTACTCTGTGCTAAATGTCAAATACAGTGCTGTGAATTGTATTGAAAGGTTCAATCTTGTATTATAAGATGTTTACATTTGCTTTATATAAGACTGTTTGCTTTGGCAACTTCTTTGCTCTGTACCGCACCTATATTGAATGTGAGTGTTGCCAAAGATGTTTTGTGCATTCTAAATAAAATCATTAAAAAAATTTACTGACAGGTACTGTTTCATTCATGTTAAAGGGACAGTTCACCCCAAAATTGAAAATCCACACATTATCATTTAACCGTAGTGCTAGTAATCAGTCTAGATAGTTTTGGTGTGAGTTGCTGGGTGTGAGATAATGGCCGTAGAGATGTCTGCCTCTCCAATATAATGGAAATTGTTGGCACTTGACTTGTGGTGCTCAAAGTGCCAGTTTTGACTTTGGGGTGAACTGTCCCTTTAGGTGGAAATGTACTTTTGACAAAATCAGGCAAAGAAACAAACAAACCAAAAAAGTAAAGCAAAGTTTGTGGTCAGAAGTGTTAAAAAATCCAGCTTCTTTACAACCTCCTCCATCTCGGGTGGTATGAGGTCAAGCTCCAGAGAGTGTATGTCTTCATGTGTTCAAAAGTAAACCAACAACAGTTTCACTTGGACTTCATTTACAGCACATATCTGTGTTTCAGCCAGTCTTACCCTACAGGCAATCTCTCCTCTGTTGGCAATTAGGATCTTATCAAAGGTCTGCGGAGGGAAACAGCAGAGAGATTAGCACAGTTTATCATTGACACAACAAGGACTTTCCTCACTCCAACTATTTGTCAATGAGAAGACTTCAAACACAAACACTTTCTTTACCACCTAACTCCTGAGCACGGCATTAAGCTTCAGTAATCACACTAATCCTGCTTCAAAATGATCACATTCAGACATCTTCTTCAGTGTCAGCAGCTACTTGACCACATCAGTGATTCCAGTCAAACAAGAGAGCCAAAGAGAGCCATGCATTACCTTTTCATTGGGGTTGTAGACAGTGGAATAATAAGCATTGCAGTGTATGGCACAGCATCTGGACTGGAGTGAGGCATACTGCAAAACACACACAGATACATTATACTTAACTACAATGTCAATTCATTACATTCATATTCAATTGGGGTTACTGTAATTGGTATGTGTACAGGTGTGTTATACCTTCAGTCAACTCCATTTCTGATTCTGCTAATCAATTCCTATTTTCAGTTTTATGACTAAATGACACTAAATGTTATATATGTTATCTAAAAAAAGACCTTTATTTTCAGCAGGTTCAGGCTATCATAGACGGTTACATGATTGGATTTCTTTCTGTGATTATATGTAAAATAAAATGGTGCAATAAATATTTATGCATGAGCTGGACATTCTGTGGCCTTCAATACAACCACCATCATAAATAAAGCTGCATGCTGCCTCAACTATTAATTTAACTCACTGCAAAGTAGCCTTAAACAACAATAAGAGTGGTTTTTGCATGTTTTGGAGGTCCAGCTACCACAAATCACAGCTACTTAATTTCTGTCCAATAAAAAAATCAGAAACTTCCTTAAGCTGTAGTGATATGTCCCTCACAGAGAACATTGATTAGACAAGATGAGTGAGTCTACGAACTGATTTTCACAACATACAGAAATTAACGGAACTCAGTGGCTGCTTGGATCAGCATGAAAGATGAAACTCAACAAATGAAAAAAAAAAGAAAAATCATTATCTTTCAAGAGGAGGAGGTAGTCTGAGCAGGTAGAAAAGGCTAACCCCTATCAAAAAAAGTCCTAAAGTTGCACTGCAGCACCTGATCAAATAGCAGTACAGCTTTTTGAAGTGACAAAGACAGAAATATGACATTGTGTATGAGTGAAAAGAAAACAGCCCTGTGAGTGAGGCCCTCTGATGCACATTCCTCAATGAAAATTAAATCCAAACAAAGGCTAAGTGGTTTGTTCAGGACAGTAAATAGTTTTCAAATCACTGTAGTGCTTTTATTCATTTAAACCTGCGTCTTCAACATGGTGTCCATGACCCCTTGGCAGTCCTCAGAGTAACTGCAGGGGAAATATATTTTGAAAGTTTCTCTTTTTCTTTTCAAAAATTAAGATATGCCTGAGAACACAAACTAAGATGGGTCTGACATATTTTACCTTTTGCAACAACTTATCTTCAGCTCTCTGTCTTACAACCATCCATCCATCCATCCAGTTTAATATGCAATGCAATTTTATACAATATAGTG